GGCTAGCAGCCAAGCTGGCGCCCTGCTGAATCGCAGAGCTCTGCAGGACCGGCAGCGCTGGAGGAGCTTGTCAGCCTGTGCTGCTCGGGGATGGGTAAGTGCAGTCAGCTCCGTGGAGGTGTGTGAAAGCCAAGTAGCACTTGTTCCTGGCTCTGCAGGACCGGCAGCGCTGGAGGAGCTTGTCAGCCTGTGCTGCTCGGGGATGGGTAAGTGCAGTCAGCTCCGTGGAGGTGTGTGAAAGCCAAGTAGCACTTGTTCCCCCTGCAGCCACAGGCTTGGGCAGGGGACAGGAGCACAGCTCCTGACAGTTCCTTGTCACAGGGCTGGGATCTGCATCAGTCAGGGTGGAGCCCTGGAGAAGAACAGCTCTTTCTCTCCCCTACTGCTTCTTCCATTCAGCTACTCCCTGACAGGTTTGAACAGGACAGAGGAGCCCTTACATGTCTTTCTCCTGAAGGTTGCTGAAACGGTGGACTCTGGGGAAATACCAGTACCAGACAGGAGAATGACAGAGCAGCACATTTTAGGCCCTGCTTCTTCAAGACGTTTTTGCTGTTGATGAAAATACCCACAGTATTTCTAGAAGCATCAAGCTAAGTTAAAATGCTGTGCAAGGAAGCAATAGCAAGTATAATGAAAACAGAAGTATAAAGAGTCTTTAGAGTATTTAGGTAAACAAACAGTCCCCTCTATGCTAACAGGCAAGATGAAAGCACGGATTCCTACCTCTGCAGATTGGTGCTTGTGACCATTCTCTGTTTCTACAAGTGACATAATTTCCACCCATCATTTGAAAATTGCTTTCACATTCATACTGCACTCTGGCACCAGGCAGATACCTCTCCTGGCGAGTGCTTGTAATATAAGCATTAGGAATTTCAGGTGCGGCTCCACAGCTCACATCTGAAAAGAGAGGTTTAAGAACATTAAGAACATTTAAGAACAGTAGTGCAGCAATACGACAATCACAGGATATTGCATTCCGCAGCACCATTGTTCCTGATGAGCAAAAATGGTTTGCGTAATGCAGATCATTTTATACAGGTAGAAAAGGAAGATATCACGGTCTTTATTCTGCAACGCTTCACCAGACACCATTATTTTTGCCTAGAGTGACTAAAAAGAGAAAAGGAGTTGCAGAGATCAGCCAAATGTGCAGGCTGGTGCTGTACAGCATTGTGTGCCAAAGGGCTGGAGAGTGAAGCGATTTCTTTACTATTTGAAGGCAACTTTCAGAAACTGACATTCTTAGTGATGTGACAATAAGATACATTACCCTACCAGTTATCTCCTTCTTTGCAGCCAGCATCCGTTCCCCAGAACCCTCTGCCTGCTTGATTTCGGCAGTGAGCTAAGCTTCAGCCCACAGGGGAATCTATTTCTTTGCTCATCTACCCTGCTTGCTGTTTCTCGGGAGCCAGAAAAACAGGTGGTGTAGCAGCCCATTCAAAGCAAGTCACCTGTTGGCTCTATTGGCCTGACTCACCTGCATGCCTGAGTTGACATTATTTTAATTAACAACATGAAAGACTAAGAAGGATCATAGACTACTTAGAAGTAGAACCTGTACCTTCACAGAAGGGCGGTGCTGTCCAATTTCCTGCTCTGCAAATAATTTCGGGGGGACCAACAATCAGGAACCCTGCATCACACTGGTAGCGAATTGTTTCACCAGGCTCATACATTTCCTTGTTTCTGCCTTCAATTTGAGCATTGGCAACTTTTGGAATACTTCCACATGGCATTTCTGAAAAGATACAGAAAGTTGATGCTTGTGCTAATGGGATACGCATCGAATGAGTGTACTGTTTCCACCAAACAGATGCTTTAGAGAACTTTTTCTAACGTCAGCACAGTCATCCGCTGACAGTGGATTCTATACAAAAGGTAGCGTGTGGAAGATTAAATAAGTCATTCCCCTAAATAGACAATATTGCAATCCTGTTTCTAACCATGCCAGAAAATTTTAATAAAGGCTGCTGTCCCTTACTACACCAAAGTGGTTTCCATCACTGAAGCACCAAAGCAACTCCTAGCCGCTAGTGGACTCCATAGAAAACAGATCCTTGGATTATGAGTATGTGCCCAGGACTCACCTGGCAGAGATATGAACTGAGCAAAGATTGCAAGAATACACAGGAATGTTTAAAAACTAAACTGCATTCAAAAAGCCAGCCTTGCATCCAGTCAGGATTGCTCTGAAGACATCCATGAGGGGTGATAAGATTCCACAGCAAAATATGAGTTACTGGCTCTCAGTACTCAACCTCCAGTTTAGAATCCTTTCAATTTCATTGCTAAATGCGCTTCAGAAGAAGTATCTTTTGATATTACCCAAGCATGTAGGAGATGAAGTCCACTTTCCCAGAGAACAAGTTATCTCCGATGGTCCATCTAACGTGTATCCAGAACGAGAAACATACTTAAACCTGGCACCAGCCAGATAAATTGTTTTCCCTTCTTTTCTAATTTTTAAGTTTTGATTTTCCAGCCTGGGAACATCAGCACATTCTACGGGTTGTGGTGGCAAACATGGTCTTTCTATAAAATACAGAAAACACAGATAAAAAATAAGGCAAGACAATTAATATTCCGATGACATATGCCATCTAAGACCGAAAAGGAAAAAAAAAAAAAAAAAATTCGAAAATAAAATTAATGGGTTTAAAGGGAAAGGGAAAAATATGTAAGATGGACAAACCAAAACTTGTCTCTCCTTTCCCTCCTACATGGGGTTTCTCTCTTTGCCTTTGAACCAAACGAAAGCCATTTTCCAGTTCATACCAAGGAGATACAGTTACAGCTTAGTATCAAGAACAGGGAAAATTTCATAGGCAGAGAAATAGAAGAGACATTATCTTGTTTTGGGATACTGAAAGTGGGTTTCTAGAATTTTAGCTATTAAATTTTTCCACCATTAATGAAGTTGAACCAATACCCTGAGGGGTTTTGTGCTGACATGATGAAAAAGGGAACAGAACTTACAAAGTATTATAATATACTTCCTGATACATACAATGGATTAAATCTCTATGAAGCCCTCCTGAGTCAGGGCTGTCCCAATGCTTTCTTCTCCTATGCTACTGTAGAGTGGGTAGACTTAAATTATATTTTATATGCATTTTTAGTTCCCCATCCCACTGGTGGGGGGGTGAGCGAGCGGCTGCGTGGTGCTCAGTTGCCAACTGGGGTTAAACCACGACACCATGTCTGCCACTTATCAGCAGAAATGGAGACTCACGGACAACGCAAAAGAAGAGAAACCACGTGGCCTCAGAATTTTGCAGCTTAAAAATACAGACATGGTTGGCATGTTGTGCACATCAGTCACCAGCTGGCACCTCATTTGTCCTGCGCTCATCTATTTCCTATTCATTTCTGAAAACACTTTATTCTACCCCTTAATGAACTTCTGCTTACAAGATATCACCTGCATCAGAAATATTGTAACAATGGGATCACAGATTCCTCAGCATTTCTTAGAACAGACGGCCTGAGTTATGCCATATCATTTATACTCCTATTACAGGAAGAAGTCACAAAAAGAAAAGGAAAAAATAAAGAAAGAATAAAAATGAAAAAAAAAAACCCCGAAGATTGCTACTACTACAACTAAATAATAAATAATACTGATTTTTTCCACCGGGACACTGTTAAAGGCCCCCAGTCAAAACTGGTACTCTGTTCAGCAATATACTAAACAAACAAATCAACACACAGCTCTTGAGGGACTACCTGAAAGTTTTATATGCCATCTTAGATAAGTCTGTGTAAACAAAAAGGTTTACTGTCCAGCCGTTGGTTAACTGCACTTCTTTTAGCAACTTGTTTTTCCGCAGTTACCTGTTCATGATAGTCTTAACATGAACAATATCATCCTCCTGCTAATGATGACTGCAAATGCATTACACAGAAATCCGTAATAAAATAAATAGAAAAAAATAACCCACTACTGACCCACACAGTGAGGTGGTGATTGCCATTTCCCATCCATACATGTTATTTCATTCACACCGATGAGCTGGAAACCCTTCAGACACGAAAAAGCTATTTTACTCCCATTCTTGTAATTTCTTCCAACTGTTATCTGTTGAGCACCAGGCACCTGAGGCGGAGGTGGGCATGTGCTCTCCTCAGCTAAGGACACATACTCATGTTAGAACAGAACAGAACAGAACAGAACAGAAAATGTAACAGTTCATCACGGATTACAACACTAACAACCAAGAAAACACTGGCAATAATTCTTCAGTAGCTATCTCAAGCTTTAATTAATATCATGATCATTTTGTTCGGCTTCAGAAACACCAGAGCTGCCTTCAGATGCTCATAAGCTTTCAACCTCATAGAAAAGACAGACACAGTTGCCTACACTAATCTAAGCTGGAGCTTCTTGTAAAAAGCCTCTTGAAAGCCTCCCCTCTCTTACACACAGCTGCACACTCCTGTGTGCTCTTCCCATTCCTCTCTCTATGGTGAACTACTTTAGGAAAACTGGACCAACTTCTGGGGTTCTGGTTTTGTTTTGTTGTTGCTTTCTTCTTCAGACTTAGCTGATAACAGAGCTAAATGAGAATCACAAAAGGAAACAAAGAAATAAACTTCAATTTTGCCACTCAAGGAATGAAGGGCTACTCCTGCCAAAGGAAGGAAAAGTGAGGGAAGGAGGTACATCTAGGAAGGAGGAGACCTCAAGAGCTTGGTTTGTTGCTTCTAGTGGTTCCAGAAAACTGGGAAGGTAGGGACACTTGGTTTTGAAAGGGAATGCTCCCTTGAGAGATTGCCACTCTGTGTACTTCTCCCACCTCCACGCATCATTTCCCATGAATCTGGCATAATCAAAGCAGGCAAGGAGGTGATGATTGTTTTACAGTCATGCCTTCTACAGGCAACGTCCTGCTCTGCTATACATAAAGGCAGTCCTGCAGGCATCTGACCTTTGGTGTGTATTAGAAAAGGGCAGTCTCCTCTAGGTCTGTGCTTTGGAGTTGGCCAACTCAGCTTTTTTCTTGTTGTTTCACTAGGAAGCAATCGGAAAAAAATAGAAGGAAAAAAAAAAAAGAAAAAGCAGGAATAGAAAAGCTTTGAATGTTTACAGGAAATAAAGGAACTTTGGCTGGAGCTCGAGCTCTGTGCTGCTCTCATTTGCACCAGGGTAAAGCCCTTTTGAAGACCCAAGCTTAAATTTATCGTTGCATCTTTTCTCACATCAGAAGTGACAGTGACAACTGTTCCAATTGCCAGAGTAGAGATTATTAAGTCTGCCTCACTAAAATAGTGCGTCTCTCAACCTAGTTAACTGTTCAAATGATTCCCATAATTATTCATGACTATCCTTTAGCATATAATCGAGTAAGCATATATATAAGCATGTAAGCATTTCTATTTCAGACTAGTGACACAGCAATGCTAAGAAGCTTTAATAATGAGCATTTATCGTGCCTACATAAAAAGAAGAAATTGTATTGAAATCTAAAAACATACCTGTACATTCAATCTCTGGTGACCATTTTCCAGACACACAAGTTGCCTGTTTAATACTTTTGTCAGCTGATTTACATATATAATGTATAACTCCATGGAACCCAGTCCTCTTTTTTGCCTTGGAAAAACGACTGCTGTGCACACGCTCAACATCCCTTGGAATTACACACTGAGGAGATGGATCTGGAAAAAAATCAACAAAAAGAGCTAAAAAATAGATTTAGTTCAGATAATATGTACATACGCATTCACCGATGATGAGGTCATCAGTTTCCTAATGCATGTCCATGTGAAAGTGTTTGTTTATTTACTGTAGTTTGAAGCAACTCCTAAGAGTCCTAGATTACAGAAACAGAATGATTTTTTGTTCCTGCTATCTAAAGCAGAGGCTGTTCCCATCCTAAGAGTCCTAGATTACAGAAACAGAATGATTTTCTGTTCCTGCTATCTAAAGCAGAGGCTGTTCCCATCCTAAGAGTCCTAGATTACAGAAACAGAATGATTTTCTGTTCCTGCTATCTAAAGCAGAGGCTGTTCCCATCCTAAGAGTCCTAGATTACAGAAACAGAATGATTTTCTGTTCCTGCTATCTAAAGCAGAGGCTGTTCCCATCCTAAGAGTCCTAGATTACAGAAACAGAATGATTTTCTGTTCCTGCTATCTAAAGCAGAGGCTGTTCCCATCCTAAGAGTCCTAGATTACAGAAACAGAATGATTTTCTGTTCCTGCTATCTAAAGCAGAGGCTGTTCCCATCCTAAGAGTCCTAGATTACAGAAACAGAATGATTTTCTGTTCCTGCTATCTAAAGCAGAGGCTGTTCCCATCCTAAGAGTCCTAGATTACAGAAACAGAATGATTTTCTGTTCCTGCTATCTAAAGCAGAGGCTGTTCCCATCCTAAGAGTCCTAGATTACAGAAACAGAATGATTTTCTGTTCCTGCTATCTAAAGCAGAGGCTGTTCCCATCCTAAGAGTCCTAGATTACAGAAACAGAATGATTTTCTGTTCCTGCTATCTAAAGCAGAGGCTGTTCCCATCCTAAGAGTCCTAGATTACAGAAACAGAATGATTTTCTGTTCCTGCTATCTAAAGCAGAGGCTGTTCCCATCCTAAGAGTCCTAGATTACAGAAACAGAATGATTTTCTGTTCCTGCTATCTAAAGCAGAGGCTGTTCCCATCCTAAGAGTCCTAGATTACAGAAACAGAATGATTTTCTGTTCCTGCTATCTAAAGCAGAGGCTGTTCCCATCCTAAGAGTCCTAGATTACAGAAACAGAATGATTTTCTGTTCCTGCTATCTAAAGCAGAGGCTGTTCCCATCCTAAGAGTCCTAGATTACAGAAACAGAATGATTTTCTGTTCCTGCTATCTAAAGCAGAGGCTGTTCCCATCCTAAGAGTCCTAGATTACAGAAACAGAATGATTTTCTGTTCCTGCTATCTAAAGCAGAGGCTGTTCCCATCCTAAGAGTCCTAGATTACAGAAACAGAATGATTTTCTGTTCCTGCTATCTAAAGCAGAGGCTGTTCCCATCCTAAGAGTCCTAGATTACAGAAACAGAATGATTTTCTGTTCCTGCTATCTAAAGCAGAGGCTGTTCCCATCCTAAGAGTCCTAGATTACAGAAACAGAATGATTTTCTGTTCCTGCTATCTAAAGCAGAGGCTGTTCCCATCCTAAGAGTCCTAGATTACAGAAACAGAATGATTTTCTGTTCCTGCTATCTAAAGCAGAGGCTGTTCCCATCCTAAGAGTCCTAGATTACAGAAACAGAATGATTTTCTGTTCCTGCTATCTAAAGCAGAGGCTGTTCCCATCCTAAGAGTCCTAGATTACAGAAACAGAATGATTTTCTGTTCCTGCTATCTAAAGCAGAGGCTGTTCCCATCCTAAGAGTCCTAGATTACAGAAACAGAATGATTTTCTGTTCCTGCTATCTAAAGCAGAGGCTGTTCCCATCCTAAGAGTCCTAGATTACAGAAACAGAATGATTTTCTGTTCCTGCTATCTAAAGCAGAGGCTGTTCCCATCCTAAGAGTCCTAGATTACAGAAACAGAATGATTTTCTGTTCCTGCTATCTAAAGCAGAGGCTGTTCCCATCCTAAGAGTCCTAGATTACAGAAACAGAATGATTTTCTGTTCCTGCTATCTAAAGCAGAGGCTGTTCCCATCCTAAGAGTCCTAGATTACAGAAACAGAATGATTTTCTGTTCCTGCTATCTAAAGCAGAGGCTGTTCCCATCCTAAGAGTCCTAGATTACAGAAACAGAATGATTTTCTGTTCCTGCTATCTAAAGCAGAGGCTGTTCCCATCCTAAGAGTCCTAGATTACAGAAACAGAATGATTTTCTGTTCCTGCTATCTAAAGCAGAGGCTGTTCCCATCCTAAGAGTCCTAGATTACAGAAACAGAATGATTTTCTGTTCCTGCTATCTAAAGCAGAGGCTGTTCCCATCCTAAGAGTCCTAGATTACAGAAACAGAATGATTTTCTGTTCCTGCTATCTAAAGCAGAGGCTGTTCCCATCCTAAGAGTCCTAGATTACAGAAACAGAATGATTTTCTGTTCCTGCTATCTAAAGCAGAGGCTGTTCCCATCCTAAGAGTCCTAGATTACAGAAACAGAATGATTTTCTGTTCCTGCTATCTAAAGCAGAGGCTGTTCCCATCCTAAGAGTCCTAGATTACAGAAACAGAATGATTTTCTGTTCCTGCTATCTAAAGCAGAGGCTGTTCCCATCCTAAGAGTCCTAGATTACAGAAACAGAATGATTTTCTGTTCCTGCTATCTAAAGCAGAGGCTGTTCCCATCCTAAGAGTCCTAGATTACAGAAACAGAATGATTTTCTGTTCCTGCTATCTAAAGCAGAGGCTGTTCCCATCCTAAGAGTCCTAGATTACAGAAACAGAATGATTTTCTGTTCCTGCTATCTAAAGCAGAGGCTGTTCCCATCCTAAGAGTCCTAGATTACAGAAACAGAATGATTTTCTGTTCCTGCTATCTAAAGCAGAGGCTGTTCCCATCCTAAGAGTCCTAGATTACAGAAACAGAATGATTTTCTGTTCCTGCTATCTAAAGCAGAGGCTGTTCCCATCCTAAGAGTCCTAGATTACAGAAACAGAATGATTTTCTGTTCCTGCTATCTAAAGCAGAGGCTGTTCCCATCCTAAGAGTCCTAGATTACAGAAACAGAATGATTTTCTGTTCCTGCTATCTAAAGCAGAGGCTGTTCCCATCCTAAGAGTCCTAGATTACAGAAACAGAATGATTTTCTGTTCCTGCTATCTAAAGCAGAGGCTGTTCCCATCCTAAGAGTCCTAGATTACAGAAACAGAATGATTTTCTGTTCCTGCTATCTAAAGCAGAGGCTGTTCCCATCCTAAGAGTCCTAGATTACAGAAACAGAATGATTTTCTGTTCCTGCTATCTAAAGCAGAGGCTGTTCCCATCCTAAGAGTCCTAGATTACAGAAACAGAATGATTTTCTGTTCCTGCTATCTAAAGCAGAGGCTGTTCCCATCCTAAGAGTCCTAGATTACAGAAACAGAATGATTTTCTGTTCCTGCTATCTAAAGCAGAGGCTGTTCCCATCCTAAGAGTCCTAGATTACAGAAACAGAATGATTTTCTGTTCCTGCTATCTAAAGCAGAGGCTGTTCCCATCCTAAGAGTCCTAGATTACAGAAACAGAATGATTTTCTGTTCCTGCTATCTAAAGCAGAGGCTGTTCCCATCCTAAGAGTCCTAGATTACAGAAACAGAATGATTTTCTGTTCCTGCTATCTAAAGCAGAGGCTGTTCCCATCCTAAGAGTCCTAGATTACAGAAACAGAATGATTTTCTGTTCCTGCTATCTAAAGCAGAGGCTGTTCCCATCCTAAGAGTCCTAGATTACAGAAACAGAATGATTTTCTGTTCCTGCTATCTAAAGCAGAGGCTGTTCCCATCCTAAGAGTCCTAGATTACAGAAACAGAATGATTTTCTGTTCCTGCTATCTAAAGCAGAGGCTGTTCCCATCCTAAGAGTCCTAGATTACAGAAACAGAATGATTTTCTGTTCCTGCTATCTAAAGCAGAGGCTGTTCCCATCCTAAGAGTCCTAGATTACAGAAACAGAATGATTTTCTGTTCCTGCTATCTAAAGCAGAGGCTGTTCCCATCCTAAGAGTCCTAGATTACAGAAACAGAATGATTTTCTGTTCCTGCTATCTAAAGCAGAGGCTGTTCCCATCCTAAGAGTCCTAGATTACAGAAACAGAATGATTTTCTGTTCCTGCTATCTAAAGCAGAGGCTGTTCCCATCCTAAGAGTCCTAGATTACAGAAACAGAATGATTTTCTGTTCCTGCTATCTAAAGCAGAGGCTGTTCCCATCCTAAGAGTCCTAGATTACAGAAACAGAATGATTTTCTGTTCCTGCTATCTAAAGCAGAGGCTGTTCCCATCCTAAGAGTCCTAGATTACAGAAACAGAATGATTTTCTGTTCCTGCTATCTAAAGCAGAGGCTGTTCCCATCCTAAGAGTCCTAGATTACAGAAACAGAATGATTTTCTGTTCCTGCTATCTAAAGCAGAGGCTGTTCCCATCCTAAGAGTCCTAGATTACAGAAACAGAATGATTTTCTGTTCCTGCTATCTAAAGCAGAGGCTGTTCCCATCCTAAGAGTCCTAGATTACAGAAACAGAATGATTTTCTGTTCCTGCTATCTAAAGCAGAGGCTGTTCCCATCCTAAGAGTCCTAGATTACAGAAACAGAATGATTTTCTGTTCCTGCTATCTAAAGCAGAGGCTGTTCCCATCCTAAGAGTCCTAGATTACAGAAACAGAATGATTTTCTGTTCCTGCTATCTAAAGCAGAGGCTGTTCCCATCCTAAGAGTCCTAGATTACAGAAACAGAATGATTTTCTGTTCCTGCTATCTAAAGCAGAGGCTGTTCCCATCCTAAGAGTCCTAGATTACAGAAACAGAATGATTTTCTGTTCCTGCTATCTAAAGCAGAGGCTGTTCCCATCCTAAGAGTCCTAGATTACAGAAACAGAATGATTTTCTGTTCCTGCTATCTAAAGCAGAGGCTGTTCCCATCCTAAGAGTCCTAGATTACAGAAACAGAATGATTTTCTGTTCCTGCTATCTAAAGCAGAGGCTGTTCCCATCCTAAGAGTCCTAGATTACAGAAACAGAATGATTTTCTGTTCCTGCTATCTAAAGCAGAGGCTGTTCCCATCCTAAGAGTCCTAGATTACAGAAACAGAATGATTTTCTGTTCCTGCTATCTAAAGCAGAGGCTGTTCCCATCCTAAGAGTCCTAGATTACAGAAACAGAATGATTTTCTGTTCCTGCTATCTAAAGCAGAGGCTGTTCCCATCCTAAGAGTCCTAGATTACAGAAACAGAATGATTTTCTGTTCCTGCTATCTAAAGCAGAGGCTGTTCCCATCCTAAGAGTCCTAGATTACAGAAACAGAATGATTTTCTGTTCCTGCTATCTAAAGCAGAGGCTGTTCCCATCCTAAGAGTCCTAGATTACAGAAACAGAATGATTTTCTGTTCCTGCTATCTAAAGCAGAGGCTGTTCCCATCCTAAGAGTCCTAGATTACAGAAACAGAATGATTTTCTGTTCCTGCTATCTAAAGCAGAGGCTGTTCCCATCCTAAGAGTCCTAGATTACAGAAACAGAATGATTTTCTGTTCCTGCTATCTAAAGCAGAGGCTGTTCCCATCCTAAGAGTCCTAGATTACAGAAACAGAATGATTTTCTGTTCCTGCTATCTAAAGCAGAGGCTGTTCCCATCCTAAGAGTCCTAGATTACAGAAACAGAATGCGTGAGGGAGCCCTGCTTTCCTGGAGACAGCTGAACATCTGCCTGCCGATGGGAAGTAGTGAATTAATTCCTTTGTTTTGCTTTGCTTGCGTGCGTGACTGTTGCTCTACCTATTAAACTGTTTTTATCTCAACCCACGAGTTTTCTCACTTTTACCCTTCCAATTCTCTTCCCCATCCCACTGGTGGGGGGGTGAGCGAGCGGCTGCGTGGTGCTCAGTTGCCAACTGGGGTTAAACCACGACACCATGTCTGCCACTTATCAGCAGAAATGGAGACTCACGGACAACGCAAAAGAAGAGAAACCACGTGGCCTCAGAATTTTGCAGCTTAAAAATACAGACATGGTTGGCATGTTGTGCACATCAGTCACCAGCTGGCACCTCATTTGTCCTGCGCTCATCTATTTCCTATTCATTTCTGAAAACACTTTATTCTACCCCTTAATGAACTTCTGCTTACAAGATATCACCTGCATCAGAAATATTGTAACAATGGGATCACAGATTCCTCAGCATTTCTTAGAACAGACGGCCTGAGTTATGCCATATCATTTATACTCCTATTACAGGAAGAAGTCACAAAAAGAAAAGGAAAAAATAAAGAAAGAATAAAAATGAAAAAAAAAAACCCCGAAGATTGCTACTACTACAACTAAATAATAAATAATACTGATTTTTTCCACCGGGACACTGTTAAAGGCCCCCAGTCAAAACTGGTACTCTGTTCAGCAATATACTAAACAAACAAATCAACACACAGCTCTTGAGGGACTACCTGAAAGTTTTATATGCCATCTTAGATAAGTCTGTGTAAACAAAAAGGTTTACTGTCCAGCCGTTGGTTAACTGCACTTCTTTTAGCAACTTGTTTTTCCGCAGTTACCTGTTCATGATAGTCTTAACATGAACAATATCATCCTCCTGCTAATGATGACTGCAAATGCATTACACAGAAATCCGTAATAAAATAAATAGAAAAAAATAACCCACTACTGACCCACACAGTGAGGTGGTGATTGCCATTTCCCATCCATACATGTTATTTCATTCACACCGATGAGCTGGAAACCCTTCAGACACGAAAAAGCTATTTTACTCCCATTCTTGTAATTTCTTCCAACTGTTATCTGTTGAGCACCAGGCACCTGAGGCGGAGGTGGGCATGTGCTCTCCTCAGCTAAGGACACATACTCATGTTAGAACAGAACAGAACAGAACAGAACAGAAAATGTAACAGTTCATCACGGATTACAACACTAACAACCAAGAAAACACTGGCAATAATTCTTCAGTAGCTATCTCAAGCTTTAATTAATATCATGATCATTTTGTTCGGCTTCAGAAACACCAGAGCTGCCTTCAGATGCTCATAAGCTTTCAACCTCATAGAAAAGACAGACACAGTTGCCTACACTAATCTAAGCTGGAGCTTCTTGTAAAAAGCCTCTTGAAAGCCTCCCCTCTCTTACACACAGCTGCACACTCCTGTGTGCTCTTCCCATTCCTCTCTCTATGGTGAACTACTTTAGGAAAACTGGACCAACTTCTGGGGTTCTGGTTTTGTTTTGTTGTTGCTTTCTTCTTCAGACTTAGCTGATAACAGAGCTAAATGAGAATCACAAAAGGAAACAAAGAAATAAACTTCAATTTTGCCACTCAAGGAATGAAGGGCTACTCCTGCCAAAGGAAGGAAAAGTGAGGGAAGGAGGTACATCTAGGAAGGAGGAGACCTCAAGAGCTTGGTTTGTTGCTTCTAGTGGTTCCAGAAAACTGGGAAGGTAGGGACACTTGGTTTTGAAAGGGAATGCTCCCTTGAGAGATTGCCACTCTGTGTACTTCTCCCACCTCCACGCATCATTTCCCATGAATCTGGCATAATCAAAGCAGGCAAGGAGGTGATGATTGTTTTACAGTCATGCCTTCTACAGGCAACGTCCTGCTCTGCTATACATAAAGGCAGTCCTGCAGGCATCTGACCTTTGGTGTGTATTAGAAAAGGGCAGTCTCCTCTAGGTCTGTGCTTTGGAGTTGGCCAACTCAGCTTTTTTCTTGTTGTTTCACTAGGAAGCAATCGGAAAAAAATAGAAGGAAAAAAAAAAAAGAAAAAGCAGGAATAGAAAAGCTTTGAATGTTTACAGGAAATAAAGGAACTTTGGCTGGAGCTCGAGCTCTGTGCTGCTCTCATTTGCACCAGGGTAAAGCCCTTTTGAAGACCCAAGCTTAAATTTATCGTTGCATCTTTTCTCACATCAGAAGTGACAGTGACAACTGTTCCAATTGCCAGAGTAGAGATTATTAAGTCTGCCTCACTAAAAGTGTGCGTCTCTCAACCTAGTTAACTGTTCAAATGATTCCCATAATTATTCATGACTATCCTTTAGCATATAATCGAGTAAGCATATATATAAGCATGTAAGCATTTCTATTTCAGACTAGTGACACAGCAATGCTAAGAAGCTTTAATAATGAGCATTTATCGTGCCTACATAAAAAGAAGAAATTGTATTGAAATCTAAAAACATACCTGTACATTCAATCTCTGGTGACCATTTTCCAGACACACAAGTTGCCTGTTTAATACTTTTGTCAGCTGATTTACATATATAATGTATAACTCCATGGAACCCAGTCCTCTTTTTTGCCTTGGAAAAACGACTGCTGTGCACACGCTCAACATCCCTTGGAATTACACACTGAGGAGATGGATCTGGAAAAAAATCAACAAAAAGAGCTAAAAAATAGATTTAGTTCAGATAATATGTACATACGCATTCACCGATGATGAGGTCATCAGTTTCCTAATGCATGTCCATGTGAAAGTGTTTGTTTATTTACTGTAGTTTGAAGCAACTCCTAAGAGTCCTAGATTACAGAAACAGAATGATTTTTTGTTCCTGCTATCTAAAGCAGAGGCTGTTCCCATCCTAAGAGTCCTAGATTACAGAAACAGAATGATTTTCTGTTCCTGCTATCTAAAGCAGAGGCTGTTCCCACTCACAAAGCAATTATTTTTTATGGTGACAGGATCCCTTTTGCTGAGTGCAGTAAATAACGTAAAAACTAAGCCTTTTTTCCTTCCCTAAAACTATGAAAAGGCGGTAAGATGAGCAAGAAGAGAAACCTTCGTTGGCTTGTAGAAACAGGAGCATAATGAAGTACTACTCCACACCGAACATCTATCGGGTATCAATCTCCTGTGGAAGTATATCTAAGTCATACCCAGGTCTTGTGTCCTTGACTGGTGATTCTGAGAGTCAGAACACGAGCTACTTGTGAAAGATAAGCAGACTGTGTTCTGTGCCAGATTCAATCCTCAACATAATTGTAAATAAAGGTACAGTGTACTCAAATCAGTGTTAAATATAAAATCACTTCTGAAGAAAGGGGGAACCAAGAATTGGCTATATCATAAACTGTATTCTGTTAAAGGTAAGTGAAGTGCTGGAGTAATTTATCCCAGACAAGACTCCTTCTTGTCCAGTATCGCTTTTTTCTTAAATTACTGACTTCAATGTAATTTTTTTCTTTTTCTTAGGAAAAGGCTTTGTTTTCTATCTTTTTAAAAGACATTACTTTCATTCAATTTATGCACCGCAAAACTAAATGGGAAGATGAGCAAAAAGACAAAACTACTGATGAGAAATGAAAAGGACTAATCCACATAAAAATGGTGAGGACGGGATAAGCCTAGCACATTGTGGCTACTAATATTATTTTTAATTCCCAGTAGGATTTTAAAAAAGCAAAGTAGTATACAGAGACATAAAACGACAAGTAACTAATGCAACAGGCACGCTACTTTATCACAGGTATGTCCCAAGGCTTCTGAAGGGTCGTTATCAGGGAGGAATGCTGGAAAATGGGTAAAAGCCACCGTGCACCAAAGATGTACCGCCAAACTTGATTTTACCCACTGTGCAAGTGTCCGTTTCCTTCCCCAAACCTACTCAGAGTGCTTACAAAGTTGTAAGTGCAGAGTCTTTCCAGGATGAAGGATATGTTCACGTTTAAAAGAGGAGTAAATAAAAAAAACCTTAGTTGAGATGCATGAAACTATAGTATCTCTGGCTACATATTGATTGCTGAAGTCCTTGAAATTTTGAATAGAATTATGTTGCACTCATATCTGAAATATTATGGAAATAGATTACCAGCACAAAGAGGTAAAGGCTTCCATTCCCCATTAAGACATTTTATTTTCATTTCCTCAGAATTGCCAGAGCCTTGTTTACATCCACAAATTACTTCATCGCCATGCGAAAACTGCATCTGGTCTTCCTGATGAAGAATAACATTCGGAATAGAAGAAGGTGATCCACATGGCATTTTGTCTTCTGTTGAAAAGAGCAGAAGTACTCTACAATAATATTGGAGTCATGTATGAATAGCTGAGAGAACTTAAATAAAAATATCTGTATTTCCACTTGGTGAGTTAAGCCTACTCCCATTAATTGTAACAACTAAACTTCAACACAGCTGGAGTATGTATATGTTTTAGTCAGTTTACTAAATCCCTCTCCTGTCTTTTCCCTTCCTTTTCCATCACTGTGGTAACTCCACAGCATGCTCCACAAGTAGTTTCAGCTAACGTTAACTTCCCAAACTGTTTTTCATTGGCACATAAATCCTGAAGTGTAAGAAAACCTTCAATTAATCCAACTCACCTGGATCCCTGAGTGGGATCAATCCAACTCACCTGGATCCCCAATTCTGATCAGTCAAAATTATATGTGATTATACACCTACACATTTGTAATGTGCACTTTCAATTAGTATTATTACAAGAACTGAAAACCACTGTAACATCACTTAGAGGGCTGCAGTGCTGTCACCTCTGCGTGATAACAGCAGTCCCTGCTTTGGGCTGTCACTGTTGCAGTGGCAGTGACAGCAAAGGGTAATGGCTTCCACAGACGAGTGCAGCGTGCGAGTAGTTTTTCTGAAGGAGGAAAAAGGCATGTAAGGGGAATAAGGGCATATGGCCTGCTCTTAATGTGGGAGAGGGAAGGCCCATGATAAACTCAAAAATTGAATTTGAACAACTCTGCACTCAAGTTTGGACCACTCTTCTTTCAAGCCTGTGCACTGAAACTATTCTCACTGGATCAAGGATTGAAAAGATGCAAGCTCCATGCTGTACATTTTTAAACCATCAGTGTTGCTCATGGAAAACCTGTCAGAATGTGTATGCATAGGAACAGAGTAAACCAGTCCATAAAAAACCCACCACCTATTGGTTCTGCTGTTAGATCATCCTGTGCCATAAGAACGCCTTGAATTATTTTCTGTATTTACAGATTTTCAGCTTGAATATTCCATTCTACTTCAATTCTGAGACACTGTCCTAACAAACAAATAGTAGTTTTGCACAAGCATTTTTTAGCTCTTGCCATTGACATTCATACTCTCAGGTTTGAGGTACACTACCTAAAGTCATGCACAGAAAGTGGGTGCTTTTGCTTAGGCAGGAGATTTGACTGTAGAACAATTCACCATTTCAGTATCAGGACTATAAAAAACTGTGGGACATGTCTGACTCTAGCCTAGGGAAGACAGCAACATACATAATGCATGTTTGTGTTTGTAGTCATCGTGTTTGTAGCCCTGTGCCCCAGTAACATACTGCATTGCCATTACTAGAAAGAGGCCACAGAGTTTGTACCAAGCTTGCAGGGCCTCAGGATGGAGGCTTATGAGGCTTACAACACTGTCCTTTGGAGCCATCATTACTGAAGGTGCGTTAGTGTGTGCCAGTCTACTGAACTACTCAGTATATTTGAAACATTAAAAATTATGCATTGCCAGAATATGATTGTATCATATCATATGTAGCATATTCACATAGTATCTATTGCATTAATCTTCAGAAATATGTGTACAGAAGTAGTATCTAGCATAAATATTTCTTCCTTAGATTCAATGCCTTTCCTTCTACTACATATTATTATTGGTGTCGTAGCAAACAGTTTGTACTCCTGTTCCCCACAGTCATCTGTGAGGGGGTCAGAAAAAAAGCCACAAAATCCTAGGTAAAGGCAGTCTGAAATAAAAGGACAAGATGAAATATCAGCTAAGGCTGGTCAATATTATGAGCCTCGGTATCATAACACTGGAAGATTAAGTCTCTTCTTTTACTATCCTACACCCCTGTTCCGGAGAGAAAGGAACTTCTAAGAGGAAAAAGGCAGCATCAGTATGGGGGTATTTTCAGGAAAAAGCACTCTGGTGTTTTTCACCAATGTACTTGTTAACACCGGGGCAGACATATGCATAGTGCTTTTTATGCGTAGTGATAACATCTTTCCAAATAATGAGTCCCATTTTTCTCTAGTTTGGTCACACTTAAAGAAAGTTCTTGGCAGAATCCCTTGGTTCACAGGCATTTCTTCATAAATCTTCCCTCGCAAGTGTGAAAGGCGGAAGAATTGGGAGTCAATTTGGGCATGTGTACCTTGTATCAGGTAAGAATCACTGGAGAGATCAGTGATTACCATCTACTTCGTGCTAGAGGTCCAAAAAGATAGTTCACCTAGAAGACAGTAGATATTTTCCCGCCTTACTCACTTCCTTTATGTTTTCTCTCTCTATTCCTTGGAGCCCCAGAAAGGTTAATCTCTCGAGGATCAGTCCTCTCTTTGAGTCTCCCTCTGCCCAGCAAGAAAACTCCACCAGTCTAGATGACAAAAATCTGAGTACATACGACATCATGTCTGCGCCAGTGACAATGGTGGGGAGCTCTGAAGCCTTTTTGCTACTCACTGATACACTTTGGAGGTGGAGTCCAGCCATTCTCTTGACACTGTATCACTCCTGTTTCTTGTCCTTCTGGAGTTACAAAGCCAGTATCACAACCATAGGTGACCTTCTCCTGTAAATAAAATGCGTTCTTTCCCAAGGCGAAACGACCGTTGTCAAAAGGGGTATTCATGCATTTTTCTGAAAGAGATAGACAGGATTTCTCCCAAGTAAAACACTGCTAAACTACATGCTTATAATACACAGAAGAAGGAGGACAAATGAAACAGCAGTAGGATTTAGAACATCTTTAACAGCACGTGAAATTTTGCTTCTGCATTGAGCGCTCTTCCTGGGGGACAATTGGAAAGTGAAAAATCAAAGTTCACAGTTACCAACTCATGCACCACAAACAGGGATGGACAGGGGTTTGATTTGCAGCAATCCTGTAAGCTTCCAAAACTGGATGTCCACATCTGGTCTCCGCTAGAAATGAAATTCATGTTGGGCATGCACTGCACTGTGCATGCATAAAGAGGACCTTCTGTCCATATTGCAGTGAGGGGCATGCCAGAGATCACCACGGTGTGCAGGTACCACCTCGGTTCTACCAAAGAGGAATCATTCAGAGTGCACATATGCAGGACTAAAGCAAGTTCGTAGCAAAGGACCCCTTCTTGCACGCTAAAGCACTAGTGCAGACAGACCCAATGTTGTAACTGATTTCACGTCACTTGGAATACATTGTTTAAGCCAGTCTGAATGGATGGAAATCAGCCGTCTTGGTTGGATGTTATGGTCTTGTATTCTGAAAGAAATCTTCTGTAGTATGCTAAATTCTTTACCAATAAGTTGTTCTGTGAAGGAGTCTCTTCCTTTTAAGAGATTAACACTACAACAGATAGTAATATTTGTGCAATAGAGAGTCAAGTAAATAAAGATACAACAAAACCCCAAACCTTTGAGGAGCGCTAGAGGATGTATTTGAATGTTGGGAGCAGAGTTAATGATACTTCCCTGCAACAGCTTCAAAAGTTTAAATTTCACATCAAAGTTTTTAGTGTTTATACCAGTAATGCCCACAATTGCCTAACACTAGGAAGCATAACTTTTTATTTTGCTTGCTCATTGCTATGTCAAAATCTCAGTGGGTGGTGGTCCAAAACATTCTATGGTCGGTGTCTCTCTAAGGGTGGAATTGTTTCCTAAAAAAATATTTTTACAGTCTAAGAAAAGTCAGGTTGAATTCTTTTTTTGTCCACATGAAATCGTTACCTAAAGTATTTAAAGTTCCTGGGAGACATTCTAGCAATTTCAGGCTTGGTGCAAGTCAGGAACAAAAGCTGGAAACAGAGTTAGGAGAAGTAACCTTTCTATTCCTCCCCGCTTCCAGTATGATGCCAATTGGAAAGGAAGCAAGGCAAACAGGGATCAGGTGGCATAGCGAGCGGCTGAAAGGAGACAAGAAATTACAGATGGGCTGCACAAGGGGAACGATTAACTGCACAGCTGTGTTATAACAAGATTTCACTACTGAAGACAAAGGGACTAGGACTCCCATCCCAGAGCTTACATTCTAGGAGATCTGAATGAACCACGTGTGGACGTTTTACAGGGTTACATTCTCCATGTTTGCACAGCGACTGACCTCAGCAGCACACAGGGACGTGAGAGCTGCATGAGCCAGTGGAGAGAATCACAGCATTGTGTTTCAGTTGTAGAGCACCTAGACTTACAGTTACTAAGCAGTGGTTATGGATTAATGCAGGTGATGTGATGGTGGATTTACCGGGTTTAGCTAGAAACCTCAACAAAATACAAGCACACTCACTTTTACGGATACATCTCGGAGGAGGTGACCAGTCATCCTTTGTGCATGTGACTTCCCCATCTTCACGTTCACTATGATAGCCATCGTAGCAGCCATATTTAACTTTTTCACCTTCCGTGTAAACACGCTTCCAGCTACGTGAGAAATAACCATTTTCCACCCGGCCGACATGACATTTTTCTAAAGAAGGAAGGTAAGTACATTTAACCACAGTAATTTGTACGGCAGGAACTGAGGTAAAATAATTCTTAGGAACAGTTACTAAAAAAGGGCCTCCTAGCGCCTTTCTGTATCCTTCTATCCCCAAAAGACATTCGTTCTCAAACCTGAATGAAAGCATGTCTTGTTTCACTGCCCTAAGATTAATGAATCACATGAACAGGAGTGTAAGTCACTGCATGAAGTGCTAAGAAGTGGTCTAGTAAACAATATGGCTTACCTCGTGTTCATAAGCAAGGTTGGCTACCTTCAGTGCATCTAGCATCATGTACACCAGCTCTGGTTTGATCTGCTATGTCTCTAAAATGTTGATGTCTGCCCTGAGTGATTTTCAGCATTCGCCTCCAGAAGTTTTCACCATCTCTGTGCAAATGTGTCAGCCTCTCAAACCAGCTCTAGAGATTTTAGCAACATCTAAGCACGCTGGCTCTACAGCACCCTGTGCCCCCAAGAGCCCAGACACAAGGAAGATGTCTGAAGGAATGCTATAGCTGTGTTACTTGAGTAACTGCTCCTTTCCTCCGGGCAGGACTCCACTCATTTCCCGCACTGAGCACCACTCCACTGAGGGCAACAGGGAAAGACCAACCTTTTGTAATCCACTTCCAAGCCCTACCAGCAGGTAGGAACTTTTCTGTGACTGAAGATGTGTGTTAGGAGAGGAGGCCTCAGCTCGCTGCTGTAAATCTATTTTCTATAGTTCAATCATTAGGTCAGTGTATCTGGATCTCTTGCTGATGCCATGCTCACTTTCAGCTTATTGCAAGAGTGTGCCACCTTCTCAGCTCCACATGTTATCCAAAGGGACCAGGCAACGGATCTCAGAGAGGAACCTCTAGACAAAGTGCCCAAGCCACGGAAGGAAGACTATATTTACATGGAGTAGAAACTCTCTGTTTGTATGTGCAGCTGTGTGTGCAGATGAAAGTAGATGCATGCACGTGACACAGAAGCCAGAGGAGAGAAACATTTCCCATGTATTTCTTAACCTTATGGGTAGTTTCAGGAGTGAAGAATCTCCACAATCCAAAAGCATCGTTTCACCCTTACTCATTTCAGAGCGTCACTTACCAGCTGACAGTTTGAGCTCTGCATATAGGATGACAGTCTGGGTGCACTTCCAGGGGTCAACTACAGCAGTTCTACTTTAACAACCTGTTCTTTGCTCCGTCTTGTGCTCCATCGGCACAATTTCTGCTGCACAGACCTTTGATAATTACAACAGAATTGAGCATAAAGTGGAAATGTACTTACTGAGGCATTTTGGCTCTGGAGACCAGCCCCTTTCAGAACAGACCATGGGAACCCAGGATTCTCCACTGGGGGTTGAATAACCATTATTGCAGGAGTAATCAATTTGCTGCCCAAACCTCATTGGAAAGTAATAGCTTTTGTAGTTCTCCATATATTCACTTAACTTGCCGTTTTCTATAGTTGGGTAGTCACATGGTTTCTCTTGAAATAGAATTTAACAGCAACAATATCAACACACGCATGACAAAAAGCTCAGGACACAATTAATTCAGATGCAGCTTCATCATCTGAGTGTTTTCTGAAACGGACAGAATCGGGACTGCACACCTTGGCAGATCCTAAGGAGTGCAGGAACAATTGCACACTGCTTCTGGTGACTTTGTCATTACCTATGCCCCTGTTGGTTCCCTCCGTTTCCATTGCAACCAACAGAAACCCAGTTAATATTCTCAGTGGACTTCAAAGGCCGATTCATGAGACCAAACGTAAGGATTTATTCTACGGTGAGATGACGCTGTTTTTGTAGAGTGTCTTGGCTAAATTTACTATACTGACCACGATGGGAGCCCAGACAGGTAGCTCAGGTATAGACACTGAACTGTGGACTCTTCAAATTGAAATGACTCCTGTCACCATTTTCATTTGTAACTTTCTGGATTCTGCACCAAAAGCTCTTCCAAGCTCTTCTCATTTTTATTTTAAAACTATAGTGTCTTTCTTTTGTTCTCGCAGTTCCTCAAAAGAACTGACCCTTTTCAGGGACAAGTCAAGGATAGAAGGAGGAGATTCCCTGAAGCTTTCATTCAAGTTTACCCAGGGTGTCCTACTCGGCCATGGCACATAGGTTCCTCCTGAAGCGCTCTGACCCAGAGCCTAACTGCTGGGGCACTGGAGAGACCGTTCAATAACGAATGAGGTGGTCTCAGAATGATACCTGAATTTTACAACCCACACATACGTAGAGAAAAGATTAATCCAGATACAAACAGTGCACTTTTTGGGAATAGTTCAAATCACCCAAAGGTTCGTTTGCAAGACTGATTTCATCAGGGATTCTCTCACATCCTGTTCTCTAAGTGTTTCTTTTATTTTCACTGACCAAAGATCAAAGAGTCCTAGATTACAAAATTAATTAATAAAAATATTTACTTACTTATTTGTTAATGCCGTGCCTACTGGGCAAAACTATCATTGTAGTCATGGGAAGTTTAAGCCAAGAAAGGACTCATAAGCAATCAAGAATACCTCGTTTTGTTATTTGACAGGTTAAAATAGGTAGAATAAAACGGTGATTGCTCATAATATACCAACACGCAACTGAAAGTAAAAATCTAAAGCGGTGATAGCTACGATGAAAGAAACCTTGCAACCATTACCTGTGTTTCGTTTTGGTTTGGATACTTTAACACTCACTATGTCCTCTTATCTTGACTGGCATGCTACTCCTCAGGTGGAGCACAAACCTTCCTGACAGGGAGCTGACTATAGCACTTTTTCAATGCATACTTTCACAAATACAGTAATAGATAATACCCGTGTTTATAAACATAATGTAAATGTAGATTATACCAGTGTTTTCATAGACGATTTTTCTGAAGAGTACTTTCAGAAGAAGTGGAGAGAAACAGGCAACTGCAGGACTTATTTTTCTGCTCAAATACAGGTGTCTACAATTGATCAGATGAACTGTGCATCTGAAATGCAGATTTTTCTTTTGGTTTAATTAAAAAGGAAGGGAGAGATTCTCCCACATCATGCACCTTTAATTTTGGTGACTTCCCCTCTGCGCTAGGTTTACACACACTCTTACCGTCAGCAAGTGTATTGGCGGTGGGAAAACCAATTGCCCGTTGAATAAAGTGTCTCTGATAGTACAGGCAGATGCAGTTCGTGTACACCAACAACTGCAAAATTACACACAAGATGTATTTGACAGATCAAAATCATTCAAGTATGGTGCATATTTACCAGCGATACATGAAGGAAGCTCGATATGCCCATTAAAACAGCGCTTGGTAGGAGAGGCTGTGAGATGAAATCCTGTCATGCACATAAACTTCTGCCACTGACCGCTTTGAATCAAAAATGTGTGTCTTTTTCCATTGGAGAGAAGAAGGTTTTGGACTTCCAGTTGCTGTTTTGTAATGGTACATGGTGCTAGGGGAAAGGAGAGAAATTAAAACTGGTGGAGTATGAATCTTTGGTGGCTTTTAGCATGTGAAGCACCTCCTCAGCAAAGAGAGCGCAAAACCAGCTTGGTTCTCACTCAGCAGTGTTTTTTAAAAGTAAAACACAGACGACTTAAACACTTGAACTCTATCATAATTAATTCAGGATGTTTCTGAACCATCTAGGTTCAGTGGCAAGTCAAGTAGGATCCAGAACCACTGTCTGACTATGCCCCAAGTATCAGAGCCCAGTATTATCAGTGACTGGAAGAATGTTTTCTTTGGCACTTCTCAAAAGCAGTATGTTGCTAAACTGTAGGCAATGCATATTAATTACTATCATTACTAATCTTGAAGCAGAAAGGTCAAGAACTGAGTGGACACTAAGACTGACTGCTCTGTATTTCTAAAGGAGTCTTTCTGGAAGAGGTCCCAGGAAGGTGGGTGGTACATAACATCCTACGTTGCCCTGTTGCCAACATTTTTTTCCAGTTTCAAGTGTTTGGCAATTTCTTGAAGACAATTCAAGGCACTAATGATTTCCCCCAAAATTTGCATCAAACTATTTCAACTGGGACATAACATGCATATTTCTGTTTGTGGGACTTGGAGATTTAGTTATAGCCTTTAAAGTGCTGTAGTTGAATGAAACTAAAGTAAAATCCATGACCCAGAGGGCTGATGTCAAACGGGACTAGTCTCAGAAATTATGGCTTTGTCGTCTTAACTGCTCAGAAGGCCTTTGGGAGTTAAAAAGCAAGAGGGAGTTTCAGCATTATAAATGTACTAATTTGTAGAGATTCTCAGACAATGTCTGATGGGAAGTTTGAACACCATGGATAATGTGGTTGTGCAATTACAGTTCCGATGACATTAAACAAACTGCTGTCTTCATCCTAGACTAAGGGTCATGGACAGTGGCAGGATTCATGCATACCATGTTACTTTGGTCTCTTTTTATACATCACCTCGTGTCCATGGTTCTTAGGGTTAGTGAGCTTCAAATCTATGTGGTACACAATTCTTGACATAATGGCTGCGTAGAAAGCACCGTTGTATTCAGCTTTATGTATAATCCAGCACTACAATTCCATTGTAATTTTCAGCTTAGACATTTATGGCCATCAATGGACTACTTGTCCTTCTGAAATTGGACTACTTCACATGTGCTCGAACTCCTTTGGAAATAGCCATGTCAACTTCAGATTGTTCTTCCTACGACACTGCCTTACTATTTCAGAAGGGCTCTTGAAAGGCAGCTTACAAAAGTACTTTGAAAGATACTTTTGTAATTTCTAGTCAATTCTGAAAGGTTGCACAATTTCTTACTGAAGTTCCATCAGTGAAATAGGGATCATTTTTTAATTGTTCTTCTTTGGTTGGAACTGGTTGATCAGAACTAGTAGTCTGGAAATTTCAAGAATGGATATAATGACTAGCAACCAGGTGCTCAGTCTGCTCAAACTACAGTAAGACTCATCAGGACACTCAGACAAAATGCAGAGGTCAGTTCAGTAGGTCAAGCAAACTTCTATTGTCTCAAATGTTCACACAGGGTGAGATGTTGAGTGGTATTTTCCTGAGTGGTTAGTCCTACGGTTACAAGTAGCAGAGTCTTGGCTACGGTGACACAGAATCTCAACTACTGAACGTGGAAGACCTGAAGATGCATTAACTTGTATCTCCTCCTCAGAGGACTGCTTGTGATTCATAAGTAGGTCATCAAGCTAAGACTATTAGCTTTCCCCAATTTTATTCATACTGCTGCAACTCATATGGTATCAAACAAATATTTCTTTACCCAGTCTTCCAACATACAGCACAGCCACTGACTTGTACCAGTTATGTTCATGTTAAACAGACTTAAAAAGGTATCGAGACTTGACGTGAAGACAATAGGACTTCAAAAACCATACCACTTCTCCAAGAAGTTGGTTTCAAATGTTGCTTTTCCCGTGCCATGAAAAGTTTCAGATTCCTTCTATAGTTTGAATTTATCAGGTATTAATACTTTTTTTTCCTGCTTGTTTAAATATTCTTTTTAGTGTGTGATTTTTCCATTCCTTAGATAAAACATTTTCATCATATTTTGTAGAAGGTAAAGAAATTCAGCTATATACTTCCTATTTGTCCAAATTAGGATTTTTTTCTAACCCAAGTAATCCTTTTCCTATGTTCTCCCCACTAATTCAGAATCATATAAAAAAAGAATAAAATAACGACAGCTACGTGAAGTATTTTAGCATCAATCTCATTTATGCAGTATACTGGAGCAATTGTTGCTTCGTGGACCTATTTAACTACACTCAAGTAACAAAAGACTGAATTAACTGGTTTTGCTACTGCTCTCCATGGAAAACTCTTATCCAGTTGTTTGGCCCCTTTAACACCTAATCCTTCCAGATCTCCATGGGATATTGGTCAGATGTGCATGGATTTCTTTCATTATGAATAAACTAACTTTTGTCATTACTAATCTCTGAAATTACTTCCAAACACAACAAATGTGCAAAATAACTTTAGGCAAGGCTAACCAGTGCAATGAGGGGTTGGATTCCATCCTGATTCAGTACATTGTACATCTGCTCTTTCACCATATCTGTATCCTTCATCACAGCCAAACTGTAGTTGTTCAGATTCCTTGTAAGACCCCTTTGGAGAACGTACATATCCATGCAGAATTTTTGGCACATCACAGATAATCTCTGAAATTGAGAAAGACAAAACCCATATATTTTTGTTTATTTTTATTTGCTGAGAATAAATGCCTATTGGAATAAAATTCAGTTTTTTTTTCATTTGACTTCACAAAAACATTTGCATTTGGAAACTGTTTGCAACTTATTTGAGAACTCTTCAATGACCTGATTGTGGGTGCCAGGTAGAAAGTGTGGTGTAGCACAGCATCAATAGCAAATTGGTTCATGAGACAGATTTCAGGGCTTTGCTTTGGATTTTAATGGATCTCAGAATCAGCATATAAGGCAGGGGACGTTGTAAAATAAGCAACTATGCTAGCTGTAATTTAGGATTTCCCATTTTTCAGATAATTTCATTTCCTTGTTATTTCTAGCAAACCTAAAGCTCTCTCATAGCCAGTAGACGATTAGTTAAATCATGGCATCAACACGAGAAAAGAATTAAACTATCTATCTGGAAAATTGACTCTAGAATGCTTCACTAGCTATAAAAGAACCTCAGCATCCCCAGATTCTTGCCAAACCCGATAAAACCACTGAGATCTTGCAGTTTCCAAAAACTGCATTCATAAAGCCAGAAAATATTCAAGGCTTTGTTTCCTTGGCCACAGAGCAGGACACCAAAGCGTTCTCTTGGATTAATTTGCTAGATTTACTTTGTATTTAGGATGAAAAATAGCTCAGTGAAACTGTCATTGTTTAATAAAATTCTATATTCTGCAAATGTTACAAGCACATGTGTTTAATTCCACTTTATGATGTTCAAATTATAATAAATGGGGGTTTCAAAGCAGCAAAATGTAGTGCTGAAATTGTGAAAAAACCACACATGTATCTGACATCCCAACATATGTACTCTGCTCTTCTAGACACATACTTCCTGATCAGATAACATATAAATAATCTAAGAAATTTGACGGACTGAATATTTAACAGTGATTGTTACCATAAGCTTCCTGGGATCCATTTTTACATACTGACTCTTTCTTATCCTACTTCTTCTGCATATATGCAATGGAGATTGTTTACACACAAACTGTGCTTAATTGCTGTGGAATAAAGTAAAAGCTTTGTAGTTTCCCATATGGTAACCAGTCCCTAGAAGTCTGTGAGAATAAAGCTTCTTAATTACAGAAAACAAATAGTGTCCTTTTTACCTTGACACTGAGGCACATCACTATTCCATTTTCCATTAGAAGAGCAAATTATTTCTTTAGATCCAACAAGCCTGTATTTTGCATTACATTCAAAATTTACAACCTGGCCAAAGGAATATTCTCGGCCTAGCTCAAATGCACCAGTCATAATTATTCTTCCATTTTCTGGTGCTTGTACAGGTAAACACTTTGCCACTGGAAAATAAAACAAAACAAAACAAAAGGAAAGGAAAAAACCAGCCATTTTGAGGTCTATTCTGTAAAATAAATTGACACACACAAAAAAATTAAAAAACAGAAAACTCACTGTAATTTCCTTACATATTTTAAAAATACACACTCTTGTTACGTATTCAGATACCATTTGCAACAGATATAATAAAAAACCCTAAGCAAAAGACAGACTGACATAGGAGGAAGCTTGTAGGCCAGCTCTCATCATCACCCTCTTCTCTGCCCTTGAAGGCTAAAACAGAGCACCCACTGAACTAGATGACCTCCTGACGTCTCACCCAATCTAATTTATCCTATGATCCTATGAATTCTATGGATGGTTAGATGAACTTTAACTGATGCATAGGGCCATTAAACTTTGTCAAAATAGTTTAATTTACTTTAGAGCTATGCCAAACTGAATTTGCTATAGACAAATATCTGGAAAAGTACTGCGTTATAGACTGACTACAACAGTTCAGTTACTAACTAGTTAAGGATATCAGAACAATTATATTACTAAAGTAAACAAACACAATGTCAGCCATTAATTTAGACCTCTTGTATCTCGTAACTTTGTAATTGCAGAAAAAGGAAGAATTAACGTATGTCATCAGGTATTTCTTATTAAGGGGGAAATGACTATCAAATCTCATTCTTAAAGGTTCACATAGATATCACTGAGCATATACAAAAGTGGCTGATGTTTTGCCTATCACAGCTCCCACTTCTCTCTGACAACATTCTCCATTTTATAAGCCATCTGCCTTTTCTATGAGCTCACATCCTATCATCTGGGTTCCTCACAATTAGGACATTATACAAATACTTTCTTTCATAGGCAATCATATTTCAGCCTAATGAAAACTCCTTGATCATGAAAGAAAAATCTTATGAGGACTTTGAAATTGCAGTATCTTGGTGACATGTGACAAAAAATGTTGGAAACCATTGCTCTATACTGTGCAGATAGAGACCTGTATGCCTAAAATTGAAGACACTCAAAATCCAGTAAACTAAATGTGAAATATCTGAAACCAAGGAAATGTCAAAACACAGACAACAAACTCTAGACAAGAGAAAGGTATCTACTTTTATTTGTGATTCTTTACTTAGAAACTCTTTTCTGACATTAGATGCTTAACCTAAAGAGAAATTTCACCGCTGCACACGTATGTTAAAATAGACCGTTTAAAAATATCTTTGGGAAGAAAGGATGCTTATTTTCATAATCATACAGGTTTAAAACTGGTGAAAAGGTTTCCAAAATCAGGGAAGTATCCTCCAAACCATCCAGTCTATTAAGTCTTGAGGTCTGGGTCTCTTACTCTCATTCTTACTTAGTGAAGTTTTTCCATAGTATGCTAATAGGGAGTAGAACTTGTAACAAAATCTTAATGGCTAGGATGTTCACAAGGGTGGAGGAGGAAACTAGCTAAAAACACACATGCTTTCACATACATCTGAAATGCCTCATCCCAGCTGTCTTTTGTAACCATGTTTTGCAGACATCTACTCTGTCAGGGCCTTTTAGGTGTGGCAGAACTTTAAGCCAGTCTGGGAGTGACAGGACTCAATTTTGTGAATACTTTTTAAAAGAAGCTTGAGTGCTTATTGGACTAAAATGGCTGAGCAGTCATTGTAAGAGTTTCACTGCTGCATAACTTGAATTTAAACATATGTGAATTAATACTAACAAAGAGATCACAGACTAGTTCTAGATAGTATCAGACAGATAAAAAGACAGTTTGATAAAGAATTAAATATGAAATTCCATTTACCTTCACAGTGAGGGATGTCATTGCTCCATCCATCTGCCTGACACTCACGGTAATTTCTTTGGCTGAGCATCCGGTATCTTACCGAATAAAAAGTAAACAATGCTAAAATACAGTCTCATTATGTGACAGAAACAGCAGTGCTGCTGTTTTTGAAGCAAAGGAAGTAGGTTTCATATGTTCTAGCACAGACTAACCAAAATGTGACAAAAGTAGGTTTTTGGCCTGCATCTTCCCTATTTTGTTTCTTTTAATTGCATATGGCAAAAAATATGAAAAAAAATCAGAAAGTAAGAAGTAATCAGTAAGATGGCTTGCTTCTTTATTAGAGATAGCAAACTTTGGCTACATAACAAATAACCTAGGGGTAATTCACACAGTCAATAGCAAGGAGAGTAAAACTCCTGTTGCCTGTGCTCTACTATGACTGAAAGCCATGTGACAGCATCAAATTAGGACTTAATCCAAACCATATGTATCTCATGCTTTGATGAGCTAGTATTATCTTAGGTTTGAGGGCAACATGGCCACAATGCCATGGCTTCTGCTTTGTCTGAAATATAGTCAGAGGAAGCACAGCTAGTCTGAAATGACAGTGAAGAACTGTCTGAATTTAAGGGATTAAGGAGAATATTGATTTTGGAACTCTTTTTGTGGAACTCAAACTAGATTCCAGCAAAACAAAGACTGCAAAAGCATGGCTAAACCATTGTTCCATGCTTATAGCCGTCTTGCATTTCAAGAGGAAAGAATCCTGTCATAGGCATACTTAACTAAGCACAATACTATGTATTTGCCTTGCTGCAGTTTTAATTGGAGAAGATGAATAGAGGAGGAAGAGAGAAGAATTTCTTCCAAGCAGTCAGTGAAGACATGTTAGTGAGTCTACCAGAAATGTCTTCCTTCAAACATTTTTTACAATACATTTTACTTCATAATGCACAAAAATGATTTAAGCAAGACTGATGAGTTGTGGTTCTGAACAGGAGACTGTTGTATGGCCTAATGACTTCACTGACATAACCGCGTCATGACTGCCTGCTGACAGCACTGATTCCAGCATACAAAGCTGCATTTCCATCTGAACTGGCTGGCTGGCGGAGTCATGAGGCAGCTTTACAGACAGATCACTATTTTTGTTTTCTACTCGGACAGCCATGATTTGAAGTTAGCTACAGCCTTACGTATTTTAGACACTTTGGATGACAGCTTTCTGGTGCATGAGTTCAGTTACTTCAATAGTGCCAGACATGAGAAAGAGTTATCTTTAGTATTACTGTAGTTGCAGAAAATTAAATTAAACAATAACCAAGCATTAAATATTAGTAAGTTGTAGCTGCATTACAGACAACAAATCTATACCTGACACTTCTTTTAACATTAACACCTTATGTTAACTCCCATATACTGAATTAAATAAGTATTACCCATCATTACATCTGTACTCAACTCTGGCACCAAATACAAATTCACTTCCACTGGTAAGTTCAAAGGAACCAAACTCAGTATCTCCAGGATGTCCACAGGGCTTACCTGGTAAAAAAAAGAAGAAGAAGAAAAAAAAAATTACTTACACCATACATAGGAATGTGAAAGTGTGAAAGAGCACTTTTCTAGCAATTAGTAGCAAATATGGGCCTTTCAAAAATTCAGAAATGCTCAGCATTAGCTTGATTAACCCCCCCTTTTTTAATCACTATCTTCAATGAGAACATATTGGAGTAAGGATCTGCTGATTAAAAAAAAAAAATTAGCAGGTTTTATTCCTTTAAAAAGGCTTGAGCTTATCTTAAGTTTTATGACAAATTTAATGGCAGGATGTAACTTCAGCTTTTCATACAACTTGTGACATAAACTGGTCCAAAGCTTCCACTACAGAATCCATCCATGATTTGAAATGAAATTTCCTCCGTCTGATGGGGATTGTGCTGAGTAAAGTGGAATGATCTAAGGCCACAGGAGTCTTTTGGTCCTCAGTCCTTTCTGCTCAAAGTTCCCCATAGGACTTTTCTTGTGGTCTGGCCCTAACTATTTGCCCTAGATTCCCAAAAGAATTGCAAAGATGAACACACCATCCCTCTCATTCATCCACTTTTGATGTTATAATACGGACTGCAAAATAAACTGCATAATTAAAACCTATTAGGCCGCCTCAGAAGAAATCTTTCCTGGTCCCTGTCAAGCTAGGCAATTTCATTCCTTGGAGTGTATCAACATCCTTGTTTTTTCCAAGGAAGAGGTGTTTGACTAGGCCCTAAACATGCTCCAGTGTGATTCAGAGAAAACGGACAACCTCATGATCAATTTTGCTGTCTAGTGTGGCCTATCCTGAAAAGGGAACGTGATCACTTAACCTGTGGCAGACCATCCCTTTTCTCCTTCCACCTGCATCTTGCCAGTGTCAGTATCTACTCACTGGGTGGCAGTATTTACTAAAATATGTTACTAAAAAGCAACACCAAATTTTGTATAATTTGAAAAAGCTGTGTTCACTGAGTAGTTATACAAATACATATAAAACCCGAAAAGGTGACTAAATAAAAAATGTAAAAGAAACTAGTGACCACTTTATTAATTCATTTTTACTCATGATTTGTATTCATCTCTGTTTGAATGACACCTGGGACTTAATTTTGTATTACCAAACAAACATTTACATTCTACTAGTAAAAATTTTGTATATTAGATATGCAAGAATAAAAGCTCGTGTGTCTAAAATTTCTTTGTGTTTAGAAGTCATTTATTACAAAAAAGAAGTATCTGCTGACTAACAATAATAAACTTCAATTTCTTCACTAACGAATTCTGTATGAAGGTGTGTGATACTTCTAAACTCTTAACACAGTATACTAGAGATAATAAATAGCAGCTCTCATCCTAATCATGAATTTTCCTTCACAGATTAAAAGAAAAGACAGGGAAAAACAATTTCCCACGTCCAAGAAATTATATCTTTCACAGAACTAGTTTAATAGACTGAAAAGAAGACAATACTGTCTCTTGATTCACATTCAGAAGCTAGGTTACTGCTTCATTCTGCTTAGACTGTAAAATTCATCTGCATTAGACTTTTTCTAAAATTTTGGAAGTGAGCTCCTAATAACAACTTAACTTAATAACTTGTCGTTACATAAATTGGGTTAATAAGGCTGGCCTAGAGTAAGATCTTATCCTGTAAAGAAAAAAAAAAAATCCTTCGATCTGGAGAAAAGGAACTTCCAAAACTGTTTCTTTAAGCATACATACTTTTTAGGATGATATTTTAAAGGATGCTGAAACAAGTTACAAGTAAAGATACAATGGTAATTTCACATTGACATCACTGGCAAGGAATGTGATCTGTCAGGTCAAATGTTTGCACATATTTTGCATAAATACTTACTTCTGCATTCTGCCCCTGGGAGATGTTGCTTCCATGCTCCATCAGCACACTCAAACACAATTCGTCCAAGTTTTATATATCCAGGCCTACATCTGTATGTTACTTGAGTACCATGTGGATAGGGAGGCTTGTCCCATCTTTCAGTAGGCACTTCTTTAACCCTCCTAGGAGGAGGTTCTTTACAAGCTAAAAATTGTAAATAAAAATACTGGTGACTGAAGCACATGCTTCAAACACCAAAATAATTTTACAATAGAAAATATAGCAAGAAATCCTGGGGACAGTTGTGATCAAATGAGCATATGTTTTCTACTTAATCATCACAAAATAGAAAACCACAAAGAATCCACATTTTGTAGGAATATGAATAGATATTTAGAAGGACATAAGAATAGTCAAGCAAGTGCCAAGAAACCACACGGGACAGCCATAATTTATGAAATGTATTTTAGTTACAAAGACTGAGACGAGACTAGTGCCCTGGTTCTAACCACAGACATCTCTTACCCTTCCATCTGTAGGAGCTCCTCCATGCCTGTCCTTCCATTACCATAGAGAACAACTGTGTGCACTCTGTAGAGTTTCCTTTCAAACTACTTTCTTCTGCAGCCACCACCATCCTTACTGATACTAAGTTCATGTGTCATTTGATCAAGTTCTGTCAAATCTCCCCTCACCTTTACATTGCCTAAACTTTCTCTCCAGGCTGAGATCACCTGATATTCCAAAACTTACTTCCTCCTGTCCATGAGATTACTTCTTATGACAAGTTACTTATTATACAGTGTAATTAATTCTGGGTATTCACTTTGACCTTTGTTAGCTTCAAAGCATTTTGACTCAATTTGGGGGATGGATGGTGTTGTCTGATATTTCTCATTAGCTCAGTATTATACAGTCCTTCCCCAAAAGCTCCTTCCTGGGCCTTCTTCAGTGTCCATGAAATGTACAGCCAAGCCCATATGAATTACAAGAAATGAGCCTGAATTAATTTTGTTAAGAAGTTCCTCAACAGCTTGAGAATAAGAAAAATCACACTAAAGGGGAAAGAAACAAAGGTTGGGAAGCTGTTAATGAAAGACTAAACAATCTTTGTTAAGAAACATTTTGTTGTTGTTTATAATAATTGACCTAATTTCAGTGACTAATTCTCTGTGCTTGGGTGACTAAAATGTACCTATTTTAAAGGCTGAAGCTTTACAGTAACAGAGCCTGGACAGTCTAGCTAATTGATGCAATGAAGTCTGTTTTACACGTGAACGTGAAAGGTGAGAATTCATCAAGAATAAATAAAACAACTGCTGAGAAATGAAGCCTTAGGAAAGAAATGAAACCTCTGTATAGAAAATAAATGGGAGAAGAAACGTCCACCAGGGAAGGAAATGTCTTGGTGAGTAGATTGATTACTCAGTAGAGAGCTGGCACAGAAGTCCTCTCACAGGAGGACTTTAGTTGTAAGGCCAGAGGTTTGAGAAAGCAGCAATACTCTCACTGAAGCTTTCCTACAGATTGTCCAGGTGCTGCCTGAAAGTGGGACTACAGGAAAAACATGTAGGATCTTTCCTCATGCAAGGGACGTGGAATTACGGTTTGCTGAATCAAACTGTGGAGATCACAACCACAAATTAAGTAGATGTGATTTCTAATACAAAGTGGGCAAATTAAATACTCATTCTTCCACATCAAAGTGTGGAAAGTGAATTTTACTTTAGTTATACAAAGACATACCCTTGAACACTCACTGTTTTTATTTCAGTCAGTAGAGTAACTACCAAATTAGAGGCATAATTTTAGAAAATTGTTTAAAAATCAAGAAAAAGATTTGTTACAAGAAAAAAATCTGTATAATTTTAAGTGTAGCTATGGCATTTTGAAAATATAAAGAAAAGAATGTTAATTGTGAGAGGTAATAACTTTATGTTGGCTAGCTTAAGTAGCCAGAAGTAGACAAGCTTTGATCATACTACTGAGTGCTAAAGAAAGAGTATGCCCACATGTTCATGGTTTTTTCCAACTACTTTCATAAGTATGCTCCCTCCTATGAATGATTACATCTGAGTAAAAATTATTGCCTCTGCCCACTAGAGGGTACTACCCTACTATCCAAAAAGGTAGCAGCGACATACTTTTCTTAGCAAGATTAAGACACATTCACTTTTTAACGTTTTTGCAAAACGCAGGAATAAGCGAAATGAACAAGATTCCTCTAGCTAGTTCTGTCTTTCAAATGTGTTAAAAATGGTTAGTTTACCCCAAAAAAAGGTCTTTGTAATGATGAGAAAAGGAATTTTTCTAATTCTACATATTTTTCATTAGAGCTCGTTAAAATTAATGCTTTCAGTTTGCAAGCCAAGAAAGCACACTCTGAATTCTACGATTTAAAAAATAGGCTATTTAGTACAGGGAGAGCTTCTCTGCTCTATTCCTCCCTTCTGAGTTGTATTATATTTTTATTGTCTGTTGTGCAGAATGGGGCCTCTTAACTCCTCGTTTACATTAAAAAAAAAAAAGGCATGAAAGATAATCTCCTGATAGTCTTCTCATCATTACTAAGACATGCTTCTTTCTGGGTTTTATTTCAACTCTCTCTGTTCTTTACCACTCCTCTCCTGATGTTAAACTATGTGTTAACATCGTGTCACAGTATGTATATGTGTTTCTGACTATAGCTAATTATTCTTTTTTTTTAATGCGGTTTCTTAGTAGCTTGAGAAGAAGAAATCTGCTGACAGGATGTACTTCAAAACTATATTAATTACATCATGCACTCACCATGTGTACTCACCAAAATTGGGAGAGTTTTATTTTTATATTAGAAAGCATGCACTAAATGCATACCTTCCAATCCTTTAGTGAGAGACTAGGAGAGCTGGAATTAATCATTTAGTATCTATATGTGACTGGACCTCAGTTAGAAATAGCTCAAGCTGCTTTCTTGCCGTCAGTCATTATGCTGGTAGCAACTTCCATGAAGTCAAGCACAAACTATGAATTCAGGTAGAAGTATTTTTCTGCCCTTGTGCAAAAACCCAGCTCTCGAACAACTCACATAGACTTCCAATATGAAGCTTGAACTAAGAACCCTGCATGACCGTGGTAATAGCTGTTCCCGCTAAATCAAATATTGCTACATTCACATTCCTTTGCAATCTTTCTGATCTAAAGAAAGCATTGTGAAAAGGAAGTGCAAATTCAGGCAAACTTTCTTTTAAAATTCCAGGACTTTTCTGGACTACTTTGCAAACAAATTAGACTTTATTAGTTGCTTTGGACCAGATATATAAAAAAGATAATACATTTCATTAATGTCCTGATTTTTCAATTTTTCAATTTTTCAAAGTAAAATCCATCAGATTGTTTTGATTAATAAGGTCTTCATAATCTTCACCTAAAATTAAAACCAACCTGAACTGAGCAAAGACACACTAGCTCAAAAACACATAGCACCCTTTCTGCAACAGTTCATGTAAAGAAACCCAGACAGAAAGCAAAAGAATTAAATCACATGTAAACATACAATAAACAATATAAACACAATATCAAGAAAAATAAATCAAACTGAGAAGCAGAAAATATCAGAGGCTTCTGAAAATATATCCAGAATACCAGCTATCTCTTTAAACATGTACGAAAGCATACCTGTATACATTTATCTCATTTAATGGATTAAAAACAATCTGTCATTCAACAGATATTTTGTAAGCTTTTCAGTCAATTTAGTAATCATTCCTCTTTCTCAGATTATTGCACAGATTATTCCAGACAGAAAGAAATGTACATTTGTTGAATATTTTCTATTTGAATCTACGAGCTGTTTACGGGTTTTAGATGTTAGAATAATTAACAAACATAATTAATAACAAATGAGTTGTCCGGCTCTAGTTTAAAGGATTAGTAACCATTAAATATGTTGTGCAACAGATTAATAACAGCAATAGTTATCCCAAAAAAATCGGTGAAATAATACTTATGACAGGATACTAAATACTAAAGGTGCTAAATACTGCCAGAAGAAATCTCAATTATTGTTGTCAGAAGTTCATTAAAATAGGCTACAATGCAAACATTTTATTTACATATTGTTTTAGTGACCATCTTCACATACACTTTAAGAAAGTGGGGGTTTTTTTTCATACTAAAGCTTACCTCTTTCTGCAGTACAATACATCCAACATAAGAGCAGAGCTGTATAGCCCAGGAATGACATCCTAGAGATTCAGAAACTCAGCAAACACATTTAGTACCGTAGCCTACTTTTTTGATTACTTTGTGTTATTTCCACTCCTATTTTACTCACTAACTGCTCCAGGGACTGACCTTGCAAAGCATTTATACTCTGATTTCAGCAGTCACTTCCCTTAATCCTCTTGCAACACACAAGTGTTTCTTTTTTTTTTTTCTCCTCTCCAAACTTAGCTAAATGAATAAATAAATAAATGTCTGGCAATTTTTGTCGACACAGTCCTTCCCCGCGATCTGCTTGTTTTTACATCATACCTCACTTTTTTCATATTTATCCCTTCCATATTCAGATAAGCTTATTTCTTTTGGTATCCAAAAGAAGTTGTACAAATAAATTATTTTGTGATACCTTGTGTCTTATATGCCTAGTTAAAAACCAGAAATTAACATTAAATATGTGTAAAAATGAACTTCTCTACTATATGCATATCATTCAAGATCTATGATGAAAACAATTGAAATAAAAAAAAGACAAAAATACAAAGTGACTTACTAACCCACTGGTTCTTGTATAAGATAACCAACTACACAGAGCAAAGGAAATGTACTTGATCAAATACTTGATTAAATAAACCTAGGTGATGTTGAAGCATTTGTTTCAGTATCACATGAGGAATGATAAGATGGAGCAAATGTGAATGAATTTTAATGTGGATAATGAACTATTCAAAGAAAATAATAAAGATTGTACTAAAAGAAGAACTATATGGCAAACTGGGCTAACAGAGGAACTCCTCATGTATTCATGTAAGCAACAGTCTTATTAATATTTTCACTAAATGTCTTGGCTTTATAAGAAGTGGAAATGCGGATCGTATGAAGAGAATTATCTGATACTGAGAATTAGGGAAAAAAATGTAAAAGTACAAAGTGGTCTCAGGAGATGGACACAAAACAGCTGCACACTAGATACCCCGTAGTGGTGATGTCTGACTGGCATGGAGTATACACAGATCAATCTTGTATATGCTCCCAAAAGACCACATAACATACCCATAAAATCACTGGCTTAGTTAGCCTACTGATACAGGACAAAAAAGAGTGTGTTTAGAGAACAGATCTCAAATCAAACCTGAATTCCAAAGCAGTTAAAACTTTTTTTCGTCTCAAAATGCAGCTGGAATTAATTTTATTTTTTTTTTAACCTGGGCTGGGTTTTCAGTTACCAGTTCTAAGCAATGGTCTTAGTGAAAACTGGCATTCAGCTGTTTTACCTACAAGAAATCTTCCAGACAGCATAACATCTCCTTCCTTTCCTTCCCCCTTTCTCTTTCCAAGTGACTCATATGTGGAGAATGAACTCTCGCTCTGCTCCACGACCCTGTGATGATCAGCCTGCATCCATTTTGCAGTTACTCATGCATACCTGATCAGTAGAAAGATATTTTTTTCACTGCCTACGTTGAGTTCTAAGAAACAGCTCCTCACAGAACTTCACTGACCGAATCTTTAATTCCTTTTGTTCTGTGGTAGAGAACTATGTGCTGCTGCAGACAGCATGCTCTAACTGCACCAACAGTCCCACCTGTCTTCTCTGCACCAATATAATTGCATTACTGTATGTGCATGCATTTACATGCTTCTGTACCAGTGGCTGCTGGGTGCAAAAGCTAGTTTCTTTGCAGTGGTGAGGAACTTAGGATCATTTAACCTACCCTGTCACAGCAGCAGTACTAACTGCTTTTCAAATGCAGCAGTGACACTGCTGCTTTCCAATTCCTTAACCCCTGTGGGAAGCTCAGAGAGCTGGAAAAACATTGAGGCAGGCTGCTAGGAGGCACTCAGATTCCAACCCAGTGGCTCAAACCAATTAGCTGTGAAAATCCATGCTGCAGGCATGGGTTCTATAATTTCTCCAATTTTAAGTGTTGTATTTTCTGATGTCATGAAGCTTAAAGTGGTTCAGGTTTTATCAAACTGCTTTTGGGTTATTAAACCACTTGTCAAATCATTACAGGCTTGAAACACAGTCAAAGATACTTTCAGCTACAGCTGAACCAAAACTGGAACTGAACGTAAAATTTACCATAGATTTCCTGACTGCTTTCTATGAATACAGGCAATGTTAAAACTACTTAAGCTAAAAGATAACATCAGCACACAAGAGCAGATAGGTATAGACTTCCCATGAATAAATTTAAGCTGAAAATTAGAAGACTCACCTAGGTAGTGAGCCTTTGAACTAATCTTTGTATAGGCCTACACAAAGAAACCATCTTTGATCACAAAGCAAGGGACCAGACTCAGTCCTTTCCAGTCTTGTGTTTGTGATCTTCTTAAGTCGTTGATTAAACTTACCCTAACCAAATGGCAATAAAATCAGGAACTTAATCTTTCTTCCCTTCCTCACTTCTTCCAAGGGCTATCAATTGATTCAAAACTAATGTCTTCAATCATCTCTGACAAAAAAGAGTGCATAGGCAAACCATGCCTCAGGACCTCTAAGGCAGGCAGAAAAAGTCATCATCTTACCTCCTATTGCTAAGAAAGGCAGAAACATCTAAGTAGTTATGCAACCAAAAGCAGCTGGATTTTACCTACGGAAGCAGAGCTATTGCTTTGAGAACTGGTGTGACCGCACTCAAATATTGCTGTGGGCACAGCCAGACAGCCAAAATATCACCACACGTTCCCTGTACTAGCAAAACTGCATGTCAAAATATAGGATCATAGGAGAGTTCAGGTTGGAAGGGACCTCAGGAAGTTATCTTGTCCAAAACTCCTTGTCATGGTTTAACCTCAGCTGGCAACTGTGCACCACACAGCCGCTCGCTCACTCTCCCCTCCCTCCCAGTGGGATGGGGGAGAGAATCGA